AACAATAATTTAGCAACTTACAGTACAGTGCTGTTTCTTGAGGTCATTGCAAATGTTTCCATCCTTTTTAATCCCATGTAGTTTTAGGCTGTTATAAATTGGCTTCTGCACTTTTTTTTATTTTTTAAATGTTGAAAACCTTGAATTTTGAAGACCATTTGAAAAATGTTTTCTCATTTGAGCTATTATGTCCCCACTACTATTCGACACAAAGAGATGCCCTTGCTCCTCTGTATCATAAAGGAGTCGCATTAAAACTTTTAAAAAAAGTAAATGTGCATAAATTCTCAGCATTCTCACCTTGGACACTTGCAGTTGACCCAGTCGTGTGCAGCTCCCAGAGGCGATGCACCTTTTCCTGTGAGAGAAGGCAGCTTTGGCAGAGTGACTGGCAGCTCCTCCTCGGGGACTGCGACGGGACCGCAAGACCCACAATGCACCACAGGGATGGGTGTGCCCCAGTACCGCTGTCTGGATATCAACCAGTCCCTGAGCTTGGAGCTGGTGAGGTGGCCTCCAACCTTCTGCTCTCTGGCTTTTTGGGTAATGGAGTCAAAGGCCTGTTCTCTGGTGAGGCCTGAGAACTACATAAGAGGGTAAAAGTAAAGAACAAAAGGTAAAGACACAGCGAACTGCAGCGAGATGACAGCTTAATAATCATGAATTGTTCCTATTTGATTAGGTCTTCATCATCATCATCATCATCACTGCTGACCTCCTTGGAGTTGATTAGAGTTTGTGTCCCATCCTCATGGGTTTCCAGCACAGTGGTCCACCTCAGATTCAGAGCTGTGGCCACAGACAAATCCTCCTCGCTGCAGTCTGGGACACCTGTCACATTAAAGTGCAGGATTAACACCTAACACGGTAAAAAAAAAAAACATCATCTCAAACATGGATATAATAACTAATGTCTGGAGAGAGTAAAAAACTCTCCCTGTGGTGATGTTGAGCGTGTTGTGATGTAACTAATCATTAACAGTCCCTTGGGTTCCAGCTCCACTCTGTGACACAAACACCCACTGGTGTCGCTTTATTGTGGCATTACTGCCGTTCAAAATGTTAGAAACACTGCAGCGCTTCCTTTTGCACCAACAAAATTCCTCCTGATTTGCATGATAAGGATTTTGACCAGTTTACCTCCTGTCATCTGACTGCATTAACTGTTTTTATTAGTTAGAGAGCTATTTGCAGATGAATGAGACATCCACAGACACCAATAACTCACCAAGCACAGTGTCCAGATAGTCATCAAACGTCTCCTTGTGTGAAATGACCACGGGAACCTCGTGGCCGGTGAACAGGTTGTGAGCTGTGACCTCTGTGAGGGAGTCTGGAGAGCAAAGGGCGGGAGGTGTTAGTGAGGCAGCGCTGCTTCCCCTGGTAGCTCATTATCAGCAACCACCCGCCGCAGAGACTGCTACAAGGGGAATCCCAATTAACATACATTAAGTCCACTGCAGCTTCTACAACCACATCTTGGTGGTATGATGGCGAAATAAGTGTATTTACATGAACAATATACGAATATATGAAGACGAGTACAGCACACGTCTTTAGCGATACGCCTAAAAACATGTGGTTCCTTCCTCAAGCAGGCGCTGACATTTCTCTGTTGAACCACTTCTTTTAATTAGGCACCGCTTGCTAAAGAACACACAATATGCAAAGAATCCCAACCTTTTGCTAAGAGCCTTTTCTAGTCCTGACAACTTGTGGGCGTAGAGGAGCGAGCTATCTTAGCTTGGAACAGTAATGAATTATGTTGCTGACAGGGAAACATCGAAATGCGTGCGTTTCCTTCAAAAAAAAGCTTCTTTCCCCGACTTCAAAAGCAGGCAGACGTATGATATTGACAGACAGCCTAAACGCAGGGTGGCGTGACTGTGGATAAACGCTCACCTCTGCCTGGCTGCAAGGCTCTCTGTAGGGCGGAGCGGACTGAGCTGCTGCCATGCAGAAGTCTGTGGGAGGGCAGGATGGACAGGTAAGCCGCTCCGAACACCGTCTCTGGGGAGGAGCTGTAGGCTGACAAGGTCTCCCCCGTCTCCTCCCCGTTCACCTGGGAGACAAGAGAAGAAACGGGTGGGAACCTTCATAGTGGCACGAAGGCTGAGTTAATGAAGGGAACCCGCTGGCTTTCATGTTACAGTTTGATTCCTGCACTGTCCTCATTAAAGGTCCTATACTGTTCCCCTTCTTTTCAGCAAATTAATGACAGTCTCATGTGTCTCCAGAATGTGTTTTTCAAATTTGCAGCTCAAAATACATAAAGAGATTCATAATTTTCAGATGACTGTATAACCCCAGGTCTAAATCATGTTGTAAACAGTCTATTTCAGTGTCTGCAGCTTTAAAAGCAGCTTGAGCTGCTGCTGCACCCCTTTCAGGAAGAAGAGTCTCTCTGCGTCTGTGATTGACAGCACAAAGCAAAACAGCTGACGTGAATGAGCGTGCGAGTGACTCATTTTACACGGAAATATCGCCAAATTCACTGCCCAGCTGTGGTTCTGAACTCATGTTTATGGTGAGTTTGTCAGAGGAAATTGTGGTTCTAAAATGAGTAGTTTAGCATTTTAGAGTGGCAGCTTGGTAAATGGTTCTGAAGTGACTGCTGGTTAACATGCAGCCTTAACGGGCTGCTTTTCAGTCCCTGGTTCACACTCGTTTCGCTGAGAACAGCTTTATTTGGAAATCCGACTGTATTAAAATACAGTATATGCAAGCACAGTGAGCTTCAAGATGTGAATACCAGCAGAGTTCAGGCTGCACTGATGCACAGAAGGGACATAAAAAAAACACAGTAACCTTCCCAGTTCTTGTTTATTGGCTTCAGATGTTTTTTTTCTAATTGTCCCGAAGCATTACAGTTTCCACAGAGTTCTGACTTGTGGGCTGTTGGGAATGTTAGCCACGTTAGCCTCGAAATATTCTAACACCAAGACTTTTCCTATTGTTGTAGAGATATTGCCATTAAAAATAAAAGTAATCACTGGATCTTCAGATGCCAGAAGTGCATGAAGACCCTTGTGTTCACTCTTGCAGTCAAAAGCAGGATGCGCTTTGCTTGTGGCTCGTGACATTTTAGAATTAGCAGAAGAAGCTCTACAAAGTTGACAAACCTGATTGATTGTGAGGCAGCTGCTCATTCTGAATGACTCATATTGACACAGTGGGCAGTAAGATTTCAACAATGACTGGTTACCCGCTTTCTACATAGCAGCTGGATAAACTGGCTTGTGAAGCTGGGAGACTATCTCGTGGTGGGTGGGCTTGAGGAATGGCAAAAGTAAACGTCTTTTTAGGATGTACAAAACACATAAGTTTTCCCCATATTGGACTTTTAAATCAAAGACCAGCTTCTTTTATGCTGTTGGACTGAAGACTTTAGTTTGTGGAGAGGGGCAGATGCAATTTTACAAATTTTATTTAATAAGCAATGAACAAATAAACTGTCAACTGAAAGATGCATGCAACATGTGCAGCATGTAGCTCTTTGACACATAACAGGGTTGCAACGTACAGTTTAATCCTGCTTTAAATTGATGGCACACTCGTATTTGAGGGGGTTGTAATTAATGATTATTACACATCATGTTGCAGACATACTAATAAGCTTTCTCAGTCCTCTGGGGAGTTAATTGAGCAAACGCTTCCTGTAACACTGCATTTTGATGGAAAATAAGATAAGCAGTTAATTTAATAACCCGTGGTTTTGACTTTAATTTCTATGCTACTAGAGCAACCCGCCCTATACACACAGTGAAGGCATAAAAACACAAACGCACTCTCACATCCTTTTCACTCCAGAAATATGAAGATTTTTTTTTTAAATTAAGGCACCGACTTGGTTACATTTCCTCAGGACAGCGGTTGTATAATGTTAGTCGCAGGGCGATCAGTGGGCTGTTTGCTGCCGCTCAGCTTGAAACAACAGGCATGTGAAGAACTGTAAATACGGCACTCAGAAGAGTCAATAGAAACTAATCTGTGACATCATCTGTTTGGGTAAATTGCCACTTGCAGATGGATGCACCCATTGAAAGCGAATAATAAAGTGAGGATGTTTTGGTGCATGATTTTTAATGGAAATACATAAATAAACAGAGGCGCCAAAGAATCTTAAATAAAGCGAGCAATCAGCGTTTGGGGTAAAAGAGGTGAGAAACAGAGGCGGCAGCAGGGAAACACTCGGAGGAAAAGCGATGAGAGAGTGAAACAGAAAGAATGACGAATGATGAAAATTTGAGCCGGGGGGACAAAGGAGCCGAGATTTACCTTGAGTTTGAAATCAAAGTAGCAGCCAGTGCACTCTCCGATCCAGTTCGCCTGCATGGCTTTGACTCCGTACCACTCTGGGAGATCGTCCAGGGCGTCCAGGAGAGGCTGGAGGAGCAACAAAGACACAAGTTTATCACTTTGTGCAAGTTTGGAAAGAGCTAATTTTCCACTTCGGTGTGGAAAAGAGATATTCTCCTAAGTATGTGGCTGTCTAGGATAATGCAATTGACTCCCAACTCTGTGTGGCCTCTTTCAAAGCACAGCCAATTTATTTTGACAAAGCAGCAGAGCCGACCAGGTCACATTATGCAGACAAAAAGGGATTTTCAAGAATTCTGACCTCCACTCGCCCTACTTTTCTTGATATCACAAAGCAATCGCCTATACAGTGTGCACACTCGCTCTCTCGCACACATGCAGCCACGTACACAACAGTCATTGTGCCTGATTAAAGGAAGCTATGCATATAAACGAGGCTCAGGCCAAAAAGCCACAGCTGGTCCAAGGCCGGAGATGTTATAATTCTCTATTTCCTTTTCGGTCTGTCACAATCTATTACCCACAATGCCCCTTCAAGGTGCCGCTCAGCATGCAACACCTCATCATGGAGTTATCAATACAAACCTAAACACTGGCTACAGTCATCACTAGCATGACTGCGGAGCGTGTCAGTGATGGATTTGCTCCAGAAAGGGAGAAAAGGAGACATAAATTCTGACGAATCTGTGTCAGCATGACTGAGCGACTCTTGGCAGAGACGCAGCAAAAACAAAGATGTTACCGGCAACGAAGGAAAAACTGAAAAAGCTGTGACAGATAACTAGCTGTAAAGTGAGAGTGTTTTGTTTTTTTTTGTTTTTACTTTCCTGGACTAGGAACTATAGTTTGGCACAGAAGCAGGAATCGTAATTGAAATATGTATGGCAAGGACAGGAGTCTCCATGGCAACTAAGAAAAGCTTGAAAGAAAAAGCACGGTATTGCAATAACCAAAGATCTGGGTGTGAGAAAGAGACGTCAAGTACACTTCTGAAAAAAAAAATATTGGACAGTGTAGCAACAAAAAAAAAATCGATGCACTTTCCAGGCTGAGATTTTGAAACAGCCTCCATGAAACCACAAGCTGTTTGTGGTCAATTTACCATAAATGACACAAAACATTTCTGGGAGCTATGCATATATTTGAGCAATGCTGTAGGAGCACAATGCACTGAGCTCTCAGTTTGTGAATCATTTAGATGCCAGTGTGGTGTAATAGGCAGGCAGCATTTGTCTGACTGCAACAAGTGTGATTGTGCATGAAATTGAAAACTCTGCTTCTGCCACATGATAATTTAGCATCCTGCGTGCTCCACGTAAAAAAAAAATAAAAAATCCATCTTAGTAATAATACGCAGTCAGTGTGCAATGTGGAACAACTCGACAGCTAAACAGAATAAATATTGTCTGAAGTTAATGTTGTCTAACAGACTCGAACACATGTAGAGGCGAGCAGGGAAATCACGGTCCAATTACTTTTTTTTTGTCTTTGGCACGCTCTGGTTCGACACGGTCCTCCTTTCTCTCCATCTGTCTTTCTCACTTTTTTCCTCTAACACCTTCCTCTTCCTTCCTTCCCACTTCTCCGTTCGTCAGAGAAAATTAGAAATGCAGGAACACATTGTCACAGTGGGCTGCTTCCACCTCCACTCACACCTCTGACAGGGGCGACTGTGGCTGAAGCTGAGTGACGCCTGACGGTGGACAAGATGAGTTTTTCAATCAAAATGACAAAACTGACAAAGGACGCAATAAATCCTCTAAGGAAAAACTAGTGTTTATTGCAAGTTTGGGGCCATTTATTGGAAATCACGTGTATTTTTCCTTATTGGCAACCATTTTTAATGCATAAAAGCATTGTTTCTTTTTCATTTCACACCTCCCAGGCACTGGTTTCTATTTTATTTTAGTATGATATGAAACCACTCACAGAAACTTCTGAGCTGCTGGGCAGGATTGCTATTGCAGCAACACATCATCAGTAGGGTAAAACTAACCTGTCTCACGACGGTCTAAACCCAGCTCACGCTCCCTATTAGTGGGTGAACAATCCAACGCTTGGTGAATTCTGCTTCACAATGACAGGAAGAGCCGACATCGAAGGATCAAAAAGCGACGTCGCTATGAATGCATGTCCGCCACAAGCCAGTTATCGCTGTGGTAACTATTCTGACACCTCCTGCTTAAAACCCAAAAAGTCAGAAGGATGCCGTGCTCTGCCCATCCTTCTCAAATCCTCAGTGTACTTTAAAACCGAGATGGAACAATTAATCGATTAGTCAGGGAGTTGTCAACCTTCGCATGAACTGCCAACTTTTTTGATAGTTTATCTTTTTTTTTATAAGTTTAAAGAAAATAAAGTCTAAATTCTCTGATTCCATTTCTTTAAAATGTAATAATTTCTGGTTTTATTACCGCTCTTGTGAGAGTTAACTGAATATATTTGTGTTGTCGACAACACAAGACCTTTGAGGATGTAATCTTTGGCTTTGGGAAACACTGATCAACATTAATCATCAATCTTTGACGTTTTTTAGACCAGACAAAGGACAGATTAATCGAGAAAATAGTCGACAAATTGATCAACAATGAAAATAATCGGTAGTTGGAGACCTAGTTTGATGGAAACAAGTAGAAATTAAATGATTAGGAATGTGTAATTTATTTAAATCCTTTTTAGGCCGAAATGTAATTTTTTTTTTGTGGTTTTAGACCTTTAAATATGACAGTTTATTTACTTTTCCATTTCACATTCTGGGGTTTTGGACTGTTGGTTTGACAAAATGAGACATTTGCAGACATCGTCTTGGGCATTTGTTGTGATGACTAATTTTTTTTGCTATTTTCTGCAACTTTGTAGATCAAAAAGGCATCAACAGAATAAATAATCATTATATTATTCTTTAGTTGTAGCCTTAGAAAGAAGACAAACCTTGTTTTTCTTCACTCAACTCAATTTCACATGAAGGAAGGTGAAAGAGTGAGAAAATGTGCTCAAGCGATAAAGTGCTTTCCCGATCCACATAAAACAACTCTTCTCCTCGACGGACACTACTTTGTGCCGTCCGTGTGTTAGCACACGCACACCACTGCATGTCTAACACTGCACATGCATGTAAAATGCATGACCCGTCTCTCTTGTGGATGATTCATAAGTCTGGAGAGGAGAGTTTCAGCCTGCAGCGGGCCTGTTCACCCCTGTGCCGAAAGGTGGAGGCTCCTCATCAGTCAGCCCGGCCACCTGGTGGTCTCTTTTTGCCTGGCAGAGAGACGCCAGGCTACAAATGACGGTCTCCAGGGGTCTGATTGCAGAACCAGAGAGGAAGGGCTGCAGCTGCTGCTACTGAAGTGTCAGCCATGATTGTTATCAGATGGATCCGCTGCTCATTTTTGCTCATATGAAGCTGCCGGCCAGCCATTCAGACGCCCCTTGTCTCTCACACACACACACACACACACACACACTGGGCTAACACACACACTCACACACACACACACACACACACACTGGGCTAACACACACACACACTCACACACATAACAGTCATACCTTGGCATAGTTTGTCGTCTTGATGAACCATTGTGTGAGGAGCTTCTGCTCCACCTGCGCGCCAGACCTCCAGGAGCGACCGTTTTCATCCACCTGCTCATCCGCCAGCACCGTCTGATCAACGGGGTCCCAGTTCACCACAGCCTGAATGACACACAAGCACACAAACACAGATGAACACTCACACACTTGATATGAAAAAAAAAAAAAAAAAAAAAGGCAGAGCTTAGGAAGAAGCTTGGATTTAATAGACAGACCGGAGCCCTATTTGAAGGTCGTCCCATTTCATTACACATAATCAAAAGGCTTCTACCAAGCTCTCTTCATTTCAATTCATTCATTTTCTTCAAAGAGTAACGGATGAGCTGCCTCAATCATTTCTGTAACTGTCAGGCACATCAAACCTAAACCAATCATATTACTGCTTCCACAAGAAGAACAGGATAAGCTTTAACTGCAAGGGCCTTTCCTACCTCTTTCTGATACGCCAGCCCTGCTTCAAACAGCTTGATAAACAGATACTGGGTCCACTTGTAGTAGTCTGGGAGACAGGTGGTTACTTCCTGCAAGGGGAGACTAGAGTCAGGTCAGCAGTGCCGAGTGTCGCGCACCCTCAAAAGAGAGCAACCCAGACTACAAGCTGCTGCAGTTGATGCTCAGTTCTTCGTCAGTTCCTACTCACCCGGTCCCAGTTGAAGCAAAGCCCGAGGCTGTCCAGCTGCTCCCGCATGGACTGAATGTTACTGAGGAAGGGAGAAAGAACAGCAAAGTTAGGGAGCAGAATATCAACAGTGGATGAGAACGGATGGAACTCCTCGTACCTTTTAGTCCACTCCTCTGGATCGAGGCCTCGCTCTATAGCGGCATTCTCAGCTGGAAGTCCAAAAGCATCCCAACCCATCGGATTCAACACCTGAGGACGCAGGTATCAGTGTCAGTGGTCATCAGCCAATCAACGATAAATAAGTGTTGTGTTGCTGTGCAAAAAGTATCAAACATTCTCTGTTCCAGCTGTGTTTTCGTATTGTGGTGACGTCAAATAACAAATCAAACTATTCTGAAGCCTCCTTGAGTTCTAAGAAATTGCAACAGGCATTTATTTGTATGTTTTGACATTTTGCACATTATAAGTATGTTTGGCATATTAATTTGTGTTTGATGCACAGACTGCATGTAAAAAATGGACTTAGTTTCCAAAAAAAATGTGGAAGCACCATCAACTTGCATTCCTTCTAACAGCCAGCAGGGGGCGACTCTTCCGGTTGCAAAAAAGAAGTCTGATTGTGCAGGAGATTATGAGAAAGTCACCCTACTTCTCACTTGATTTGGTACCTCAGTCAACATTTTCTTAATAAGTTTATGGTGTTGATCATTAATTTGAAGACCTTCATAAGGAAGCATGATGTTCTTTTTGGAATTTATGGTCTTATTTAAAGTAAAATAGAGAATAAAGCAGATCATGCAATTCTCCTCAATTTCTCATTTAGATCCACCTCTTGCTCGTCATGTGTGATTATTTAAAAAAAAAAAAACAAGCTGGCAAATATTTGTTATTTCAAATGTTCAACTGCTGGATACAAGACGTCTCTGTCATGGAGCCAAACAGTTATCGGACTCCAAATCACGAATTTAAACATGCAATCTGCAATTCACAAAATATGTTATAGTTTTCATTTTTACTGATATTACTGTATTTCCTTAACTAAATACAATTTCAGCTTTTGTGATGGCTGGTCTATGTCTGATTGTTGTAGGTCAATGGTAAAAAAAGCAATATATAAATGTTAGAAGCAATTATTATCTTTAACTGCCTATGCTTTTTGAATCTATTAGACTCAAAATGTTTAGCTAAAGCTTGACTTTGCAAATCCAACTTCATTCACAATTTCATTTTCTCTCTGGAAAATCACAGTCAGGTGTATTCTCCAAATCCTTCAGTTCCCCTTGGGTGTGCACTGAAAGTTTCAAGCTTAGCATCAAACTTGTCTAACTCACATATATACTGAATATAAAACCAGCCTTGTGGATCTGTACACACATCATTCTGCACGTTCAAGTCGAGTAACAACAAAGAAAACACGTTTTTTAAGTAAAAGGTGGCTTTCAGAATACTTCATTTTAGCTCATTGCTTATTTAAATTGATATGTGGCGAGATAATTTATGCAAGCATCAACGACAAAATAAATAACTCGTCATTGTAAATGGTAATTTATTCAACAAAACAGCGTTGCGTCCCCGAACATGCGGCACACATTGACCCCCATATGATAATGTGTTGTTTCGTGCTGAGATTTTAACTCCATTACATGTGGTGGTTAATGTATGCACACTGAGTGCCATGTAACTGCAGCTGTTATATCATGTAAATGCAAGAGGGAAGCAAGGTTAAGCTCAGAATGGAAGATCAGGACGCAACAGCTTTGTAGTAGCTCGCATGATGTTAATTACGAAAGTTGCTTCCTATAGAATTTTTCCTACACAACTTTCCTCCACATATCTGCGTTCTTCCCCTCTCCCTCCATTACATATACCGTCCTTGACAAACACGACTCCTTCGCTCATCTCTTTAGCTCCTCGGCTGCGTTTTTTAGCTCGCTGAGAGAGAGAAATGCGACGAGAGCGCAGGAGTGGAAGGTGTGAGTAAAGTAGAGGAGAAGCACAGTGACAAGGAGTCGAGGGCTGGAGAGGATCATTGTACGGACTCTAACGGGTCTGATGTTTCAGACGAATTGGTATCCTTGGTAACTGCATGGGCCTCATTTGTAAAGCCGAGTGCTGGATGGTATTAGGCTAAGAGAGCTCGGCAGACCACTGTGACTGCTCAGGAGGGATACAGGCACACTGAGAGCCAAGCACCTGCCTGAGATAGCCAAAGTAAATAACAAAGCAGGAAAAAAAACAAACATGCGCCTCATTTAGATGGATACGCTACGATGATGTTTAGTCAGAGTAAATACTTAAAAGTGACACGCTTTTCATGAATTGCTGTTACAGGAAGCGGCCGTGATGGACAGGCTACGTCAGCAAACCACATTTTCAAAGTTCAAACTGCGAGGCAGAAGCAAAATTATTTTTTCATGGATAATAGCTCCACTTATCACTCCGTCTATCAGGGAGTGTTTTCTGACATTTCATACATTGCAAATAACCTGTTTAAGATAATAATTACTGTTTGATACACTGACGAAAAGATAGACATAGCTGACGGGTCTGGAAAGTCTAAGGCAATTCAAATGTGTTTTGCCTGTAGTCTTTCTAACAGCCAGCAGGGGGCGACTCCTTAGAAATCTGATTGTACAGAAGTCTATAAGAAAATTGCTCTACTTCTCATCTGATTTATTACCTCAGTAAACAATTCCCTAATAAGATTATGGTCTCAATAAATAGTGTAAAAACTTTTGAATACAGTAGGATGTTCATTTTGAAAATCAGTGTCCCATTTAGAGCAAAATACAGCGTAAATACTTAAAGTGACACTGTATTCATAAGATGATTCTACAGGGAGCCGCTGTGATGGTTAATGAGCTACATTTTTAAAGATCAAACTGAGAGGCAGAGGCAAAATAATTTTTTCCACTGATAATAGCGCCACGTCACTACGTCTACCCACAAAACAAGCCTGACTCATTTCAAGCCTGTTATCAGGGAGTGTTTCTGGACATCTCATACATTATAAATAACCTGTTTAGAACAACAATTTATGTTCAATACACAGATTGCATGTAAAGATGGAGGGACTGACAAATGAAGCCAATGCAATTGTACCTTCAACCTGCATTCCTTCTAACAGCCAGCAGGGGGCGACTCCTCTGGATGCTAAAAGAATTTGATTGTCTTGAAATCTATGACAAAATTACCCTATTTTTCACTTGATTTGTTACCTCAGTAAACATTCTACTCATGAGATGATGGGCTCAATCACTAGTTTAAAAACTTTTTGACTACAGGAGGATATTCATTCTGAAAATTATTGTCTAATTTAGAGTAAAACAGATGATGAAGCAGAGCAGCAAGTTATTTTTTCACTGGTAACAGTCACAATTATCCTTACATCCACACGTAAGTCTGACTCTTTAAAAACCTGTTATCAGAGAGTCTGTGCATTTATTTGTATTTTTTTGGCAAGTCATACATTTTAAACAACCCGTTTAGAACAATAATTCATGTTTGATACACAGAATAGAAGCTCCCGGGTCTGGAAAGTGAAGTCAATGCAAATGTGCCTTCAATGTGCAGTCTCTCTAACAGCCAGCAGGGGGAGACTCCTCAGAAATCTGATTGTACAGAAGTCCATGAGAAATCATTCCTACCTTTTGCTTACTTTGTTATCTCAGTAAACATTGTTTTAATGAGTTTATGGTCTCAATAACTAGTGTTAAGACTTTCTGAATATAGCATGAAGTTCTGTTCTGATTTTAAAAAGCATCGCCCCATTGAGAGTAAAACAGACGATGAAGCAGGGCATGCTCAAGGGCCAAACACCTGCTTAAAATAGCCTATGAGAACACCAGAGCAGACAAAAACCACGCACCTCCACTATGATGTTTATTCAGTGTAAATGCTTAAAGTGAGATGGTATTCATGAGATGCGAGTGATTCATAATGGCTCCACTTATCCCCACGTCCACACACAACGCGAGTGTGACTCTTCACAGACCTGCTATCAGGGAGTCGATGCATTTCAGAGCATGAGTGACAAGAGGCAGCAGAAGATGGATGTGGGAGACAGTGGAGACTGATTTTTATGACAATCTGTCCACTGTAATGTGAAACAAGTCGGTGCCAGCCGGAGACGGGTACATGCATCCACAGCTCAGGGAGGAAAGGGGAGCTGGGAATGTGGAGCCACGCTGTTACATTTATGTGTCCACCCACACAGCTCCAGCCAGAAGCTCCAATCCATCTGTGGGAGCTTTGAAAAGCAACTTCAGAAACTGTATGTTTCAAACGAAACTCTTGTAATTGTCTCAGTATTCATGTCTTCTGTCTTGACAAATTGGACTTATTCCACGACCACACAACTTCACCGTTTGAGTTGTGTTGCTGCGCACAACAATCAGTGTGAAGAAGCAGCTACACAGCTTCAACTCTAGTAGTACTTAGCCTGGAAATGCGTTGACTGATTGATAAACAGCTAATGCCAGCTGTTTTGATAATTTATTAATTAACTTGAAAGATTTTTTGAGGGGGGAAAAAAAAGGTCAAAATTCTTACATTCAAACTTCTTAAATCTGTGGATTTTTTGAATATCTTTGACTTGTGGACAAAACCAGACATTTGTCATCTTGGACTTAAAGAAAATCAACATTTTTCACAATTTTTTTTTAGCATTTTATAGACAAACACCTAATCAGGTAATTGAGAATATAATCAATATAGTTGCAGCCTTAATTTAGCCAAGCAGATGAGTTTAAAGGAACAGTTTTTATTCTGTTTCTCAGTAACAGTTTGATTAAAAGATTGTTAATAATTTTTCTCTGTTTGGTAAATATGCAGTCAGTGGCAGCAGCTGGTTATCTTGCTACAGCATAAATTAAAGTTTTAAATTCTGGGTTAAAAGAAAAGTGAAATAAATTGTTTGGGAAATGAGCTTATCTGCTTTCTTGGAGACAGTTCGGTGAAAAGACACCACTGTGGTGTAAATATGAAGCAGGTGCCACGAGAGACCTTTACCTTAAATTTGGCTCAATTTAAAAAAAAACAACAAGTAAAAGAACAACATGTAAAAACAAGTTTTGTGGTTTTACGGGGGGGGGTACCAGAAGAGACACAGTAATTACCTAATTAAACATAAATAAAATAGAGATTTTGCTTTTTGGAAGAAAATTAATCATTCAGATTAAGTGGCAAACCTCAAGAATAGCTTCCTTAATTTGTCAAATATTTAAAAAAAAAAAACTAAACTGCCTCCACTTGAGTACAATGGAGGTAAGCAGAATCTTGACGGTAACAAAATACTAATCAACAGGACCATGTGTGGATGAGATTTTGGTCACAATCCTTTGATATGATGAACAGACGGGTACACTGGGTGTTGCTGTGATTTGGGATGAAAAAAAAAACTCTTTTTCACACATGAAATAGTCTTTAACATCCAGAAAATAGCTTTAGGGTGCTACCATTGACAGAGAGTACATTTCTTAATTAACTAGTGACAAGAGTAGACTGTGTGCATATAGCGGAACAGGATTCGTTTTCTGACAGATGCTGAGAGAAAATACACTCTCGGGCTGGAAGTAGGTACCAACCAAGTGAAACCGTGTTCCTGTTCGGGGAGAAACCACACAGAGGAAGAAGGTGAGGAAGAAGACACACAGCGTAAAGTCCTCCAGGAGCAGAAAACACAGAGGAAGGGAGAGGCATGTCTTACAACTACTTTTTATCTGGGCGAAGGCTGGGACGGATGGAAGCAAAGAACTGAGCAGAAGGTGTTTGTGTCGCTGCGAGAGCGAGGTCCGTCTGACAGACTCTGGCCACAGCCGCTTAGAGGAATCAAAGAGAGAGCCGAATATCGATTGCAACACTCTGATCTGAAACACAGTCCGGTCAATACCGCACGGCGGTGGTTAAGATCAGGAGCACAGGTTTTGCTTTATTTACACCTGATGGTAACCATAAGAAGGGAGGTTCAAAATCACCACAACCTTCTGTTTTCTCCAATCATCAGCTTCTAAGAAAGAACAAAACACCTTCTTCCTATATTTCTGAGTTGACTTTTAAACCCTAGGAGCCCTGGGGAATTTTCACAGTAATTTCACGACCTTTAGTTATAAGCTCTCATCTTGGTCATGTGACAGCCATACATTCAGGATCTCAGATTTTTCAGAACAGTCCAGGCTATCAAGATCTACCTGCAGATTTTTTATACTTGCCTTCATATCAAGACAAAAAAAGCCCTTCTGTACTATGAAATTATGATATTTTAAATGTATCTCACTACAAAATGAGAGCAGCAGAGATGTGTTTTTGTATTTGTGTCGGGGAAATTGTCTGGAATCTGGCAATATCAGAACCATGGTGATGAGACATTAGATGTATTTTGCAGAGGTGGCAAATCAGACAGATTAAAACCTTTATGAGGGTAATTATTTACTGTATTAGTCTCATGTTTTTACACCTGATGAACTGGCAGCTGAGTGTCGTGTTCAAATGTATTAACTTTCTAAAGGAAGCTGGCACACGGCCATACAGCGGAAATTTAAGAAGAGTTTAATTACATGCTCTCAGGGAAGTGTAAACGTCGGTAATCTCATTGATAGAAAGTGGCGTGGGGAGGCATTGTTCTGCTCCTAGTGGTGCTCGTATTAATGCGATAGTTAACACACCCTGCTATGTACACTGTACGAGCGTGTAAACAGATATGGAGCGTCACAGTTCAGACGGTTAATGCAAACAGGGGGTGCAGTGATGTAATGGCTGCTGATATTAATTGTATTCTGAATAAACTGATGTACACGCAACAGGGATCTAAATAATGGGCCAACTCGTTGTTTTTGTGTTTCATGGTTTATCAGTGAGGCAGCATCTGAGTCGACTAGTTGACATGCTCTCATCTAACCACAGAGTCACTGGTCAGGCAATTGTTGGTGTAACTTTTATAAGGACAAAAGCGTTATATCAACAATCTTCTGAGATTAATCCATTCATTTTGGTGGAAGGAGGAACAAACCACCCCTAAACACCCCCATTCTTTCACACCGTTGGACTGGCCCATCCTAACAGAGACTCTAAGGTGTGAGTTATTTAACCTTTCCTTGGAATCAGTTCCAAACTAATTGACACCATGTGAAATAAGTCATCATTGTGGCTGCAAAGCAAGCAGTTTGTATGTCACAGCTCAACAATAACACAGCAGCAAACTTGTCTGCATTATATTTCCTGAACAGTTTGTGTGCTGCAATCATCACTTGATGCACATCTGTTTTTCAGAAACCATGTGAATGTGGTGCACGCCTTCCTGCTCCCAGTCTGTTGTTAGCATCAGTGTGAAAAAAAAAGCAGGCTGGAATGATTTAATATGCTGTAAATATTACCTTTATGTGTTTATTTACAATTCATTTATGCTAATAGGGTGAGCAGGTAGAGTGACCTCGGTGCACTTCGGCCTTTTTAGTTCATCTAGAGATATAATGCAGATGTTGTTTTTGTTTCCCCTGTGGCCAATCGACTAAAGAGCAGGTATGATTTCAGTTAACCAAGATTTTCTTCAGTTGACTACAACCCTAAACACATACATGTACTAAAGTCTGTGTAAATAAAATTCAGATTTGTTTCTAAAAAGATTTTTGCTGAAAACTTGTGCAAAGACTGTGAACCACGACCTACTGAATTGTGCCGTTACATCGTTTTTCAGGCTGTTTTTCGTCATTTTTGTGCTCAGGGTTTTTCTAAGCAGGCATCCTAACACTTTAACTGCATTATCATCAGTGGTTCTCACACACTCGGGTCAGTTTGCCGGGTTCGTACGGCTCATTTGGGCCGGTGTGAAAGTTGTCAATCAGTGCCCTCGGTGTGTTGCCACCACCCTTTCAGAAGAGAGAGTTCTATTTTCACACTTTAAAATGTAAATTTTATTATTTTTTACACTTGCCAATCTTTTTATTCATTCAAATTTCCCTTGTGGTTAATAACAGCTTTCTGTGGCGTGACAATGTCAGAACACTCTTTTTCCTGCTTTACGTGGACTTTAACAACAGTCAAATCAAATTAACTTCAACTGGAAAGTGCAGGTCTCACAATCTCTACAATGAATATGCACGTCAAAGTACTCTGAGGGCAGCACATCCTTTGTACATTTTTGGTTTTGGAATAAGAGTCATTTTAGCATATTGTGTGTCAGAACAAAAACAGGGACAGTTAAGCCACAGACGGAGACTTGTGGTGAGCGGAAGATAACAAACAATAAACGAAACCCAGGCGTGTATTAAAAGTTAAAAGCTTTGAGTCATAATTGACTCATTCTTAGAGACAGACACCTGCTGTCGGAAGTCATATATTTGTGGAGTCTGGAAAACAAAAGCCTAAATATCACTGTTGAAAAGCCTCCACAGTCAAACCACTGCATGTTCTCGATTTCAGTTTTTACATCATTTTACAACCATCACATCATAAACATTCAGTTTTCTTTATAATTTCAGGATAATGTCGCAATTAAATGTTAAAAAAGCTTCCCACCTTTAGTCTCATGAGAGGGTTATTAGTAAATTAATTAATATTTACAGTCGTGTAAAGCTTCCTTACACAGGTGTTACTAAAAACACTGGCTCTCCTCCATGTGTCCCAGTAAGACGGCAGCAGCTCGCTGGAACACGAAGCAGCGAAATGGAACTGCTGGAGTGCAGAGTGTGCCGACCTTGCTTGTTTTAGGGAGGATTGGTGAAAACACATTTGCTAAAAGCAGACATACCTGATGGCCTCTCATTCTCTGGAAGTGGCCGATGGTGTCACTGATGGTATACACTCGCACATGGCCCATATGCAGTCGCCCCGACGGGTACGGGAACATGGAGAGGACATAGAACTTCTTCCTGTCGGCACTCTGAGATGAGAAACAAGAGCCTTTCATATTAATATATACATCTGTATGAAAAGATAATAAAGCTGGATTTATGATCATGCTTTATGATCTTTTCATAAAGCATTGATTTTTAAACCTGACGGACTACAATGGAAGAGTGAAGTGCAAAGTTCTTCTCTCCATTATCTGTCTGGCTTCTGAATGAGTCGTGTATAAAAGAGGCTGCATTAAACTGATGAGGTCAGAGCAGGAATAATAACCCGTCACATACAGAGCTGCAGCGACGACCGACTGTATTACTGTATGAGGCTCAAACGGCAGCTGATTATAGTGTCAGGATCTAAATGGTGGCAGATTATTGGACGGCTTACAGTCACAACACTGTTACCAGGGCAACGCAGTAAGTGCCGGTTACACCCGGCCATACGTGATTACAGGAAACCTGAGTCATGAATTTTTCAATAAATTAATTAGGACCGAGGTCCTGCCATAAATGCACTTAATCACTGTCAGCCCGTCGCAGACGACCACACGCTCGGACCATTAGGACATATAATCAGCCGGGGCTCTGACTCCGAGATGAGCCGGTGCCAGTAATAGCTGAGAGGATCATTTGGAAGGATGCATAACGATCAATTAGTCCATTAATCTAAAAAAGAAAAAACAACAAACAAAGGTGCCTCAAATGTATACATCACACAACAGAAGTATGAACTGTAATATGAGTCAACAGATTTCTACATTTTATCCCCTTACAGTAATTTGATTACTTCTGAGCTGAATAGTTGGGTATTTGCATATTTCATGTTAAAACAGTTTAGATGTAGGAGCCTAAATCTATTTCTTTGGTTCTGGATTTGGTTCTTATTTTACCGTAATTATTTCTATTTGGTTTTGATTTTTTGTTCAACAGTAACTTTGATATAGATTATGATTAACCTTTTTTATTTTGCTAAATTTATCTGTTATTTGGTTAAATGTTGTTAATCATAGTTTTGGATATTTGAATTCTGTGTTAGTGTGGTGTTTTGGTTTATTGATTTGTTTTTGATATTTTGGTTCACTATATTAGGGTCCCTTAAATTTGCAAGGGCTCTTGGGAAATGGATGATGGCATGGAGCCAAACAGCTTTTTTTGACTGCACACACTTTGTGTCCTCGTTTTGCTTTATGTTTTCCGTCTGTAAATTTTATTTTTGTGAACTAAAGAATCCTGTTTAAACCGCAACTTGGTGTCAGCTGGATTTTGTCGTTGGAGTAAACCCAGCAAGGCATATAATGTGGATATTGGAAAGTTACGGGGAAAAGTTAGTCAAGCTGGGCTTCATGAACTTTAGACCATACATTAGATTAAAAAAAAAAAAAACAGGCCTGACAGAATGAACTCAACACAAGAAAACTCAGTACACCTTTAAATGCTGAAATTCAAATCTTTTTTTGTTCTCAATGCCTCTTATGTTTACATTTATTTCTGATGACAGACTTAATCCATCTCAGCATGGAGGATACAGGTATGTGTTGTGTTGTTCTACCTGTCTCAATAAAATACCAAATGTGTTCTGTTGGATTCAAGTCAACTGACACACTTGGCCATGTCTCAGCTTTTACTTTTGCCTCCTGCAGTTCTGACAATGTGCTTTGGATCATTATTATGCTCCAGTATTGCTCTTCTTCACGCTTCTACAGACTGTGTGTCATATTGTCAGCCAGGAATTTGGTGCATCCACAAACATTCATAGTGCATCTATAAATGTCGTCTCCCAAAGCCTTTTGCACTCACGCAGCACCATCTGATCACACTCCCACCTCTGTGCTTCAGGACTATGCATTCACTGTGGCTGTCCTGGTCGGGATCACACCAAACGTGCTGGACTCCATCTGAGGCGAATAAATTGATCTTGTTCACATTCAACCAATGATCCCAACGTTCATCACGCTTCTTTTAATGTCCTTTGACAAAGTTTAATCTGGCAGTTTTGTACCAAGGTTTGTTTTTTTTTTGTTCTTGGACCTTGATGTTTTGCAACGTCCTTCACACTGTCTGAGCTGCCACAGAAACTCTGATTTTAAACAACCGTGCCTTTCCAACCTGTTTCGTAGCTGGTCCATGGAAGTCGCGCACTGTCTGTGACATAATGTTCAGAGCCAATGCACCTCTGATTAGTGGTACTACGACTCATTCTACTGCTCCTGCTTACTGCTGCAGCTGTGTTTCCACTGATTTTTAGTTAGTCACCAATCTTCCTGTATCCTTTTCCATCTTCTTATAGTCTCACTGTCAGATTTTTTTCCCATTTCCTCGGGTAATTCTTTTCCATGATGCAGACATGCAGGTAGACACACTACATGAATTCAAAACTGAGAAAATTCTAGTGTTTTTGCAGCTCATTTCTTAGGTATATCCATGCAGGTAGGCACCGGTGAACTCAATTCAATTTCAGTGATCACAGGTTTTCTATCAGTTATCACAAGAGTATTCACTTCTGTTGAGTTTCTACATCGGGGCCTGAAGTTTTAATATATTCTTTGGAAAGTCTGTTTTTGATTGTTCATAAGAGGAATAAAATAAAAGCAATATTTAAGAAGTGATACTTGTTGTGATAGTTATTGATTAGACAGCTAAATAATGCATAGGCCTGTATTTCACATGTTCAGAATTGCCCAGACAGACAGATGCAGTCTCCCTGCAGACGATGTTGTTCTCAGGAGCACACTTGGCCAAGAATAGACCTTTTTTGCGCAGCAGACGTTTTGACTTGTCACAGCAGGAAAGGAAATAGGTGAAGCAAATTTCATTAACAGCAGCTCCGTCCCAGTGTCCCAGTAAACCAATGAACCGGCATGCACAAGTCGGGTTTAATGTCATCAATTACGTCTCTGCTTTGTCTGCAATAACAGGTCAAAATGTCTAGCTGTAAAAAAAAAACAATTGATCAATGCAACCGTGGTTAGAAATCTTCAACTCTGATTTTCACTCATTCAGCAGTAGCAGCTGTTGTAATGATGAGTGAATAAAGGGTGAATCTAAAACCTTCTGCTCATTACACAACAAAACATGTGCAAGAGAACATTTATATGCACAGGTTTGGATTTTTTTAATGGGGTATAACTTTTAGTTGGAGCAGAAACCTGGTCATTTGTGTCTCTGTATACATGATCATTAATTACTGGTAAGCACAAATTTTTCAACATGTCAGCAACCTAATGTTGTACCTCCTGAGGTACTCCAACCGCTAAAAAAGTTTTCTTCTGCAGCATGAAAAGCAACAGAAAATTAATCTTCAGTCGTTTTGATAACAGTCGAAAATCATGTTTTGAACAGAAATACCAAACTAGTTTTCTCCATTTCATTTTGTAAACTGAACATCAGAGATTGGGTAAATAGTCGACATAAAATACAAGATTGTTTAAATTTGGGGGATTTTTAGGGCTCTGTTTGAACACTGAATGACATTTTTGCTTCTCCAGTGCAGAATCAGAGGTAATTATTTTGCCATTTAAATGTGGGCTGGACCAACAGTTTCAAAGGGAGGGACTTACATGCATTTGCTATCATAACCTAACATGCACAAACGTGTGGCCTTACCAGCTGCCCAGACATCGAACACAGAAGCTCAAATTACAACCAGTTCATAGAGTGTGACTTTGCTCAGACGCTGCTACTACTTCACTACATCTTGACATGCTAAATAGTTGTTTGCTGCCATATTCATGCATTCTTTATGTTCAAAATCTTGCAATTTGCACCTTTAACCTTGAGCTCTAAATATTTGCGGTCAGAAACCTGCATAAGGTGCCACAGTATCCACATTACTATTGGACTCTTACAGTTAACAAGTTTTTCAAATGTGGGATAATTGTTTATTCAGGTCAACAAAACCAGTATATAATGTCTCTGCAAACCAGATCATCAATGAGATATAGGTGCATATGTGAACACACTCTTGAGTTTGTTCTACATCATCATGTCATTACCAGGTTGAAGACTGTCTGCACGCACATGTATTTGAGCTCCTCTTACCTCCTCCAGTGCATCCTTCTGCCATTGTGCCATAATCCGTGGGTGCCACCATTCTTCCACCTTGCGTCTGGTCTCAGTTCGATAGTCCTTCTCCCACACTCCTGTATCGCTGAACAGGGTGCGGGTGTTGGGGGACAGGAGGCGAAGCGTCGGCCTCAGGAGAGCAGCCCTGCTTTGGCCGGGCCGGGCTGCACACAGGGGAAACAGAACCAGCCTTCTGACGGACACCTGCATGATTGTGTCTCCTAAAACAGGGACAAACACAGTAAACTGACAGGCAGGCGGTGGGAGTGTTGACATGCTGGTGGAATACTGAGATTTATACAGATTGCACCGTTTCATATTTTTAACACAGGTGTCATTATTACTCTAAAGGTGCAGAAAACTGGAAAATGTGGGGGGAAAAAAACACATATAATCATGCAACCAACACAGTGCTGCAACAGTTAGTGGATTAACAAGAGTTCAGTTGTTAAACTAAACGAAAACAGCAATTTCTATCTTCTCACATCTGAGAATTTGGGGATTTTTGCTTTTTTATATCATTGTAAATTGAATAAATTTGGGTTTTGGGCTGTTGATCAGACAGTGATCAGATCAATTACCCAAAAAGTAACTGGACGTTAATTAACATGTTCTTCTCTTAACTTTTCATGCCTGTAAAAGAAAAGCTTAAACTTTCTTTGAGGGGGATAATATGAACAAAATAGGTGTCCTGATAATAAATCTGACTTTAAAATTTAACTAAAAACTGGTCCATGACAGCTCAGGTGACTTCTATTCTCAAAAACTCAACAGTGGAATAACTTAAAGTTTGATATTGGTGAAGGTAAAGCTGTTTCCAACAAGGATCTGCTGTGGACATTCTTCGAAGTTGAATTCATTATTGCGTTGCACCTCACGTATGTCTTCTGAAGAAAATAACTCAAACTTTATAGGCAGCTCTGTGTCTGTCATTCCTCCCATAAGTAGTAAAAGGAAGAAAAACAGACACAGAACCTTCATACAACACCAGCTCTCATCAGGAAGTCTGAGTGTTTATCCTTTCTCCTTCCATGCAGACAGGTTTCTAATTTCTGAGTGTAAAAGCACAAGAGGAGCATGAAATCAAAGAAAGAGAGCGAAAGTCAAAGACAGAAGCCCTTCACAGAGGAAAGGAGCATCTCTGCACACCGAGGTCAAACTGGCCTTCTGACCTGCATACTGAAAAGAACATGAGACACATTAACAGAGTACATAGCTGCTATGTAACCACAGAAGACGTAAATATGATAGTTTCCACCACAGAATCCGTTGGATATTTAACCGATCTGTTTAAACTACTGACAGTTAGGCACAAATGTTTTCATGCCAACTTGGGATTTATAGAGCTTTTATTTGATCAGCATATGTCTTCAGGATGGAAACAGCAGGATTTTAGAGATGTTAATGACAATTTTCAGCGATTTCATTTTTAAATTTTTTTTACTGAAAATGCCGTGTTCAGAACTATTCAAACCCCCTGAAAGTGCCACAACTTATTTATTTATGTTTAAAATGTAGCTTCTGCGCCCCTTTCAAATGGTGCTTTTATTTTCGACATCACGTTCCAGAGTATTCTACTGCACTGTAAATTGAGAACAGCCGATGCAGTGGTTTTCTATTCAACTGCGAGTCATGGCTCACTCCAGCGGACACTGAACAAAGCTCGTCTCCGTGGACGATGGAGCGAAGGACGATGGAGCGAAGGACGATTCCACGACAACCACACAAAAGCTCACCTCATGTTTGCAAATGCTCACTTAGGAAAAGAGGAAAGCTTTTGCTTTTCAGTTGTGTGGTCGGATGAGATACAGAGACATAGCTTACATTTGGCAAAAGAAAAGAAATGCATTAAACCCCAAGAACCATGGTTAAACACGGTGGTGGGAATGTGACGGTTCAAGGGTGTTTTTCAACCTTGTCAAAGTATACGGCATTGTGAGAAATGAGGACAACTCTCAGATTCTGGAGGTAAAACTACAGGCAGTCTGCTACAAAACTTGTCCTTGGGTCGCACTGGACCTTTCAACAAGACAATGATCTGAAACATGCAGCCTAAGAGGAAAAAAAAAAAGGCCAACAGTAAACAAATATCAACATTTTGTAGTGAACCAGCCACAGTCCAGATCTGAATCCTATCAAGAATCTGTGGAGGAACTGAGGACCAGCAAGGTAGTCTTCAACCTCAAAGGGATGGAGATCATCACAAAAGAGAAGTGCTCCAATATGAAAATGATCATAAGAATCATTTTATTGATGTGGTGTCACATAAAGATAAAAAATAATCATTGATTACTGTGAAAAAAATATTCATCATTTTGGACATGGCGTTTAGGTAAAAATGGAAAAACAAACTGATAGAATCATCTTTTACCACTTGGTTATGTCATTTCTGCCCAGAAGAAACCTGTTCGTCAAATAAACAGTCGCTGTAAATCAAAATTTTTACCAAGGTATGAATGATTTTGGGCAAAAACGTTCAAATATTGAAGAATTGTCTGTCTTTTCACATGTTCGACAAAATAAAAAGTCAAAACGGAATTAAAAACTTTTCCTTCATAATCATTTTACATAACAAATCTGCTGTTCACAGGGCTGATATAGCTACCACATGGTGTAACAAGTGACAAGTTTATCCCGTGTCAGTACATATGGCATCAGACGGAGCAGCACATGAGTCCACTTGTTGTGAACAGACTGAGTGACGGTTCTGCTCTGCAGCCACCCTGAAGTGTTTTTTTTTTTTCTCACCGCTGCTGTTTCACAGTCTGTGTTCTTCGCACCATGTCACTCACACAACAGCATGAGTTTGTGAAATAAGAGGTTTATTCGGCACGATGTGATTCTGTCTCACTGTGAAGCTCTGGACAGGTTGTTCTTATTAAAGCCGCCCGCCTGCTCAGATGTGAGAATGATAATCGCACTAAACTGATTTGAAATTACACACTGATGTCTCCACTTCAAATCTGCCTCGGAGGTTTAGACTTTTGCTGTTGCACTACAGGAGGTTAAGGGTCCTGCTTCTCTCAAGTTTGGTAATTGCTTGTAGCTCAAAAGAACAAAATACTAGTTTAGAGAAATGTCAGGATTATTGTGGACAATAAATTAAAAGCTGACCAGTCCCACAACGGACAGCTTGACAGAAAAAAACAGATTTTCTATGGCTACTTCTGAAGGGTTTTACTGTCTTTCATGAGAGGCTAAACATCCCCAGGGCCTAATGTAGGTCAGACAGTCAACTGCATGTTAGAAAAAAAATCCATTTGACCTAAATTTGATTTTACACAACACAACCACACACACAGGCATGTACATAAACACAGTTTCCAAGGAAACCTGAGACATTCATACAGTCTCTGCATCCTTGGTAGCGGAGGACAACTGCTGCTAACCTGGCCTGTCGAGAGAAAATATTCTCAGCAGTGACGCATCTGGATCTCAGACAGGGAGACCTTTGTAGATCGAGAAGAGAAGAAGCGATAATGTGCACTCCCTGACATCCGACTCAGATAAAGATGTAGATGAGGTAAATAAAAATTATGGATGTTTCTGTAAAGCTGTGGAGGAATCTGTACAAAGGTTATCCTATATTCTGTAATGTTATGAAAATACAGGCTTACTATGGAGAGAGAGAGAGCTCAAACAGTCAAACAAATCAGTAAAAAACTTCAAAAGACACATCAAAAATCTGATTTTAGCAATAACACAGCAGATTCTGTAGCCTAGAGTTAAAGAAAACAGGAGTTTCTGAGGAGCTTGCAGGGACGATAAATCTCTTGGGGATGACTGAGCTTTGTCAACCAAAATGAGAGTGTAAAAAAAAAGAAAAAAAAGAAAAAAGTGCACTCTCCTCCACCCACCTGCTTGTGGGAATGTTTTTGGGTTGTTTTTTTTAAACCAAATTCTCTCGAGTATAAGCTAAGCACCACAGCAGCCAACACTCCTCCCTCAGGCTGAGGCTGGGAGAGCCGAGCACTCAAGCCTCTGTGCATCTCTGACGGTGTGAGTGAGTGGGCTAAGGCGAGAGACTGAGATAATGTTTCTATGGTGACTGGGCTCGTCCATTCGGGTGTCTCCTTTGAAGAGTGACTGAAAACTTCTGCAAACAGCCCCCTGACTCAGCTGCACGTTCTGCATGAGCAGAAGAAGACTACGCCTGATCAGAAGTTAGTGTAATTATCATGTCCAAGGCTCAATGCTGACCTTTAATAGTTTTTGGGGATCGAGTACCATAAGCTGGGATCAATGTCAGTCAAATTCCTATCCTTGTTTACTTATCCTTTAATCACATATTTACTTCATATTTACTAAAACACCAACTGTGATCATTTTAACCATTTTGTGTATATGGGCAAAGCTTTCTGCTTTGTGGTAATATGTTTGACAAATATGAGGAAATTTTATCATGTAGAAAAACATTTTTATTCTTAAATGTGAATTCCTGGAAGAGCTGAGCAGCCAGTAAAGGAATAAAATTTAAATACTAAGACATGATTAAGTAATGTCTGGGATTTGGGGTAACATAAATAACAAATCAGGGCTGTACATCATGAAAAAAAACAAAAATAAATAATAATGTGACTATCAATAATAACATACATTTTAAAATTTTTGCATTTCTATTCCACAAACAGCAAAAATAATGAAAAATGATGGTGAATTTGCTGCGATGTGATATTCCTTCACCTCTGCAGATTTAACAGACTGGGGTGTCTCTGTAGTATTTCACTTAAACTGTACATGGAGACACATTTTACATTTCTCGAAAAAAATGTTAAAAAACCTGCAGCCCCTGTGATGTGGATAATGTATTTGGCTACGTTGAACTTTTAATAATATTTGGATTATTTGTTCAGCCCAACAACAAACGCCCAAGAAATGCCTATTCTGATACTAATTCATGCTCAAATGTTTGATTAATATCTTCTTAAAACCTCAACAGCCATCATCAAAGTATCATCACATAAATGCACATCTATAAACTACCAGCTTGGCCCAGAAGTCTCCTAAATGCATCCTCAAACGTAACACGGTAAAACCTCCAACTACTGCCTGCACCTTTGTTGTTTTATGTTTGTGTGTGAACTTGTGAAACTGTAAAACTCTTTGAATAAATACGTAATATAAATGAAGGATTGTGTTTTGACAATGACTGCCCAGCTCTTGTAGGCTGGTAACAGTTAGATTTGTTCACTGGGTTCATAACAGGACTGAAAAACTCTTAGAAATGTTATCAAAATCGCAATATGGCCAACTGCAATATCCAAATCAATGGAGCTGCATTTTTTTTCATAAAGCTAACATGTGTCTTAACATACCACTCTGCAAGGTACAAAGATGCTCTGACATATATAGATAGATAGATAGATAGATAGATAGATAGATAGATATTCTTCTGACTTAAAGAAGCATGTTTGTTTATGTTTGTTTGGTACAGACTACAGTTAAATACGCCATAATTTCTTTTATTTGCCTCAATGGATTTTTTTTTTACCACTACAATCTTCGTACAGTCACTGATATTATGAGGATTTTATGATGTTTGCATGGTTGGAGGTTGATGTCCAGTCAGCAGCACAAGATAAAGGGTAAAACCTACATGGCAGTCTTTAAAAAACAAAGTAATGTAATGATAATAAATGCAGAAAATAAAATATTTTTAGTCTAAATGCAGTATTTTATAGGTGTCAATCACGTAAACCTCCAAATAAAGTGATAAACTATTAAATGAATGCAGGACAAGTTACACTGATTAACATGTGACTTTGTATTGGGACACTCAATAATGTTGTGCAGGTTATGCATCCTAATTTATACTCTTAATGCTACAGTAACATTTATTTCACTCATATTAAACCTGCCGGTTTGCCCACAAAGCAGAACAACTGCTCCCGTTTTACCTACAAGCCAAACACCGACCAGACTCCTGTTTGCATCACCTTGTGCTGCTGAAGCTTCTTTACTAAACGTCTTGTGTCCTGTTGAACTGTTTCCGTGTCACACTGAAGGATGAAGTTGAGGCTGTAAAGTGACGAAAATGTCTGTTTTAAAGGAACTTACTGTTTTATTTCAAGGTCCTTAGTTTTCGCGTTATTGTCCCAGACACATAAATCCAACAACCCATGTCAAAAATGTCACGTCCCGCTTTTAAAAACGTTGTAAATGACCTGTTTCCCTGCATCACGACACCGCTGTAGGCGCCGCCATCTTGGATTTGAATAACCTTTATCAACACGGCGGACGTGAACAAAGACAAACTGGAGCCACACTGGAGGCTTAGTTCTGCTTTCTTACATTTTTACTTGATAAGAATATAAAAAAAAAAAAAACTATGTATTTTTCACATTCATATTTTATATTATAAGTATTATATACTATTTATTTTAGATTTTATTTATATTTTGTACCAGTTAATATAAAACACGAGACAGTCGAATAGAATAGACTAGAATAGAATAGAATAGAATAGAATAGAATAGAATAAAACTTTATTGATCCCTTCGGTGTAAACCTCAGGGAAACTGTTATGTTATGTAATTATGTTATGTTATGTTATGTTATGTTATGTTATGTTATGTTATGTTATGTTATCCCACTTTCTTCCTGTAATCTGAGCTCTACATTAAATCACAGTGAGTGCAAGTGAGTTACAACAGGGATTTTCTTTACAGAGCTGTAATCAGATGAAAAGGTGTTCCTTGGAAATTCTTGTTTGAATCAATTTCGTGAAACAGTAATTTGTGTGACACATTAAATATTCCAGGAGAATAGAAGCAGGTTCGAAAAAGTTCACCCATAAAGCCCCATAACACAACATCCTATATGCCTGATAATATATATATATATTTTTTTTTTTTACTACAGCAACTTATTAAACATGTGTATTTTATCAGTCATCAGCTACCTGTTGCCGTATTGTGTTATTTAATTATAAAGAGGTCACATTATATACATCACAATGAAAAACATCCATACAGTGAATATTTGTTAAAGATGTCCTGTTGTGAGACAGAAATGGAAAAATGTTGATATGACATGACATGTGACTTTATTCACCAGTTCAGACTTTATATAAATAAAATAATACCCTACCATTTTCATTGACTATATCATAGTATTTTTAAGGCTCTAACCTATGATCAGAATGACATGAACAAATTAAAGGCTACTTCTAAAACTATTCTCACTTGTAGAAAAAAAAAAAAAGAGAGATTCAGGGCTCTTGATAAAACATTTGGGCCTAAAACACCATTATCTGTTGAAAGAGGTATAATAATCTTTTTCAAATAATTTTAATACACTAGCAGGTGACATTGGATCATCCTCTTCACTCCACTCCACATAACAATGCTGTGTGTGTTTTACTCGTCCTTTTTTACCCCCTGAGTGAACAACGTTTGTTTTTGGTGTGTGTTTGCATGCATGTGTGCACATAAACGTCCGATTGCCACGGCTTCATGACTGATTCCATTGAGTGATGGCTCCGTTTGTTACCTTAGCAACCAGGTAATCTCCTTCACTTTTTATTATTTTTCATTTTTTTAAAAGAAATCCAATCTACGTTTTGTTTTTTTTGTCCAGTATCCCCTCCAGAAACAGAAAATTGGTTTCAGCGGCTGAAATGTCTCCATTTGAAAGAACAAATGGCATTTATTGTCAAGAGCACCTGTTTTATTTGTTATTTTGTTACAGCACCACGTTCTCACAGAGAGGCTTTTATAATGGGTCCATAGGTTACAACTAGCCTTCTGGCTTTATTAATGGTAAATTTATCATTTAATAATTTATAACATATTGTTCCTGGGGGAATTAGTGGGGAGGGGATTAGAGGGGGGAATGGGACATACTGCTTTATTGTTTTTTTCTTCTTTTGTTCTGTAAAGCATTTTGTGTTACATTCTATTTGTATGCAAAGTCCTGTACAGTAAAGACTAATTGATTGATAGAAGAATCCAAGTGAGAGATATTATTTATATAACTCTATAAATCTATACTAGGTATCTGGAAATTATTTACTGACCATTCATGAAGCCATTTGTAAAAATATATAGTCTGTTTTCAAAGGGTGTCTTGTCACCTGTGTAATTCTTGTTTGATCTTCTACTGAAGTCTACAGGGAAAAGCGATTATTAACCCTCTGAACCCGAAGCAATTTCTGAGCTTTTTTCAGTCCTGTCACTGTGGGCTCATTTTTAACTGCAATATAAAGTCCTGCACCTCTATGGAAACAGCACAGCCATGACTAGAAGCAGAGAGAAACACAAATATATCCTCTCTCTGCAGTAAAACACAGTTATTATGCCATAAATCATAAGATACGATTTTTTAAAAAACGTGATTATTCTTGTACTAAAAGAAATTTAAATCAACATATACAGCATTTCTTTATGGATCCACAGGTCTTTCCATCAGTGAAACTATAGGTAGGTTTTTCAGTAATATTTTTCTAACCTCTAGAAACTAGACATCTTTTTTATATTACTCTGCTCTAAGAAGATGTTTCCCCATGCTGAATGTATCTTCAAATTACTTGCTCCTCTGTATACCGTTTTTGAGCCATGCTGCATTTATTCTATTCATCAAATATTATACATTTTACTCCCATACTTGACTTCTCTCTACTCCGTGTAAACACAGCCTGCAGTTCAACTGAAAACACAAATAAATTTTGTGACACAGTCAGTTATGTCTTCTTAGTTGCATCGTATTTTTAGTGGATGTTTTTAAGAGGTATTGAATGAAGTGATTTGATAAGATATCACCTTTTAAAGCTTAGATTAGATTCATTACTTAATTTGTGATTCCCTCAAAAATGGTTGGAAAGTTGACAGTTCCTTGTGTTTTTACCCGTTTCTGGCTGTGATAAATGATGTATTTTTGTTCATTCTTTTCATCTTTTTTCTGTTTAAGATAACATGTCCTTTACCCCAACACCACAGCTTGTCATTGTGTAGCTGTAGAGTAGCTTTACAGTGTGTGAGCAGAGTGATAGGTGAGCTGGTGTGCTCAGACTGCAGCAATTAGCAGAGATGTGGGTGGCAATAGTGGCATCGATTTCACAGAGCTGCAAGAACTCGAGGAAGCAACAGTGTGGAGTGGCGTCTAAGCCGTTTTTAGGCACAAGGGGATTATTTTCCTGGACAAAACTTTGAAATATGTAGCTGATGCACAGAAAAGAGTGTTCTGAGGGTTAATCAATGGCTGGAGATGGACTTTAAAAAGGGAGCCTGATCCTGTATGAGTCTTATTTTAGTCACTGAGGACCACAGGGAAAGTTTTTAATTAGCAATTTCGAGCTTTCTTGTTTAACCCGCTTGTTGTTTTATCTTCTAATGTGTAACTCCAGTCCGAGTGATGAACTCAAATTCTTAATCAATCATCTCCATGTAAGGAGAAACCTGACTGAAATCATTCCACGACACACATCTTCTGCCAGCTGCTCCTCAGGAAAGCCTTTCATGTGATTTTCTCAGAGAACTACTGTTTCCTTGATGCCAATTTCTAGTGTAAAGTGATTGCTGACTGAGAAAGCGCCACCACTCACTCTCATCTTCATCACAGAGAGGCACTGAGGAGGACGAAGATGATGAGGAGGAGGAGGAGGACGCAGCGTCTCATCAGTCTTTTCTTTTTCTAAGAGCTCTCACCTTTTGATCTGATGTGCAGACAGAAGCGGCGAACAGGGGGACGAAGTGAGAGTCATTGAGAGAAAAAGGAGGGTAGGATATCATTAGCAGGAGATAAAGAAAGTTGCTCTGTGTGACGTCAGCGAGCTAAACCTGGGGCTTTGCTCCGGCCTGCAGTCGTATATCAGAGTTAAATGGTCGCCTCCGCCCAGGGCACAACAGGATGTGGCTGCAGAGGAGGAATGAGAGGGAAATGGATTTCTGACACAGCGGAGACGCTAACTCTCCTCATACAGCCACAGATCAGTCTGCAGATAAAGAGGGCCCCTGATGAATGAATCTTGTGCTCACTTCCTCGCCACTACAGTTTGTCATTGAGGACTGCAGGTGCTGCTGAATGGTGGTTTGTGCAAAATTTTCTGCTGAAATCTTGAAAATTGTAGCATGTTTTGGAAAACACACGTCCTCAGCTCAGTTTCGTGCTGATGCTCAGTTGTACAATTAATTATTTACTGCTCTATTTTGCAAGGTAACTATAACCAGAGTATGTATAACTTAGTGTCAATACAACTATTGACTGTAGCTCTGCTTTAGGACAGATTTAAAGCATCTGAGCACAGAGGACGGTCTGAATACGAATACTATCCATCTTCTATACCTGCTTTTCCTGTGGAGGATCGCACAGTGTCTGCAGCCTGGAGCCTGTTTCCAGCTGACACAGAGTGAAAGGCAGGATACACCCTGGACAGGACTAACACAGAGAGACAGACAACCATGCTACTCACACCTACAGCCAATTTAGACTCATTAGTTAACCTATCATGCATGTCTTTGGACTGTGGGAGGAAGCCGGAGCCTGAAAAAACCCACGCAGGCACTGGAAGAACACGCAAGCTGCACTCAGAAGAAGGCCTCAGCTGACTCAGAGATTCAATCACAGGACCTTCTAGCAGAACACGAACACAGTGTTACCTTTTGTCACCTGAAAACACAGATTTAAACTGTATAATTTAGAACGTTCTAGTGATCAGTGGGTGTTTTTGCTTTTGAGAAAGGGCTTTAAGTGAATTTGTTGTGTGCCATTCCACGGACACCATGGACTTTGTAAGCACATGACAAAACATAAATGTCAACTCTCTGCACCCCAGAGTTTTTGCACCTGTGCCATTTTTACACACTGTGGGCTTATTTTTCACTGTACATAGCAGAGTAAAAGGGAATAAAGTCCTGCAGCCTCTGTAGAAACAGTACACCCCATGGCTCAAAGCAGAGACAACTCAAAAATGTCTTAAGTGAAGTAAAACACAGTTATAATGCTAGAAATCCTAAGAAAGAAGACATTAAAGTTGAATTTCCATATGCATAAAAGGTGGTTTTATATGCTGAAGATATTTTTCTATTTACATTTTTACAATATCTACAAACTAGACATTGTTTTACACGACTCTGCACATTAACTGTGGTAAGATGTGTCCTGTGTGTTCCTATAAGTTGCTCCTCTGGATGCTGTTATTGAACCTTGCTGCATTAATTTTATTGCTCAAGTACATTTTATTTTCTTCTC